TATGGAGATGGAGTAAGGTAACAAAAATATCCGATGGGATGGAAGTGAGAATGGTCGACGTGTTGTCATCCCTAATTCAATACATACCCATTAGCTAGTTAATTTGAAAAAAAAAAAAAGCCTTTCCCATTTAGTTGGTATTCTAATTTACCAAGATTATGACTAGTTTAATATTTATTGACAATGATCGTGTGAGAAGTAGAAGTCCAAAATAATACTTCAACTACCACTCAAGAGTCGAGACTTTAAGCATATTTTTGATAAGTGTTTCTAAATGATAAAAAAAGTTAAACTAATTTTTATTCACATATTTCGTGTGATCAGCAGGTACTATCCATTTGTTCATCATTAATTTCTATTTGACTTAAATTTGATGTATACATATTTTACAACATGAATACGCTTGCAAAATAGCTGTTGAATTTAATAAAAAATTAGCAAGGTAGAATTTCGAGAGAGTTTATTTAATTATTTAAAATTCGTATGCACTTGTAATCGTTATTTTAATATAGTGAAGATTGAATTTTGTAACGAATTAGTTTTTTTTTTTTTTAAAGGAAATTGTGGTCCACCTATAACCAAGTAATCACTTCCTTTCATTTATGGGCTCTGCTGGCCAATTTAATTCAATATGCTTTAGCATCAATGGAATTATGAAGCATTAGGTGTGAATAGGTTTTATATTTATTGACACGTGGACGTGCTTCGAAAATGAAATTATTTATTGGAAAAATTGCAGTCGAAGTTCCTAACTTTCCGAAAGTGCGTAATGTGTTTATCAGTCTTTATTTTTGGACACTTGAGTCCTCATCTTTTAAGGTTTGTAACACCTCTATTATTTGTATTTATTAGTTATTTTTTAGTCTCCAAAAAGTATTGCAGGGATAGCAAATTGCCTCTTTCCGTTTTTATTTTATTTTAAATTTATATTTTTAAATCTAAATCATACTATAAATAAAAATAAATTAATAAACAAATAGATTTGGAGTTGGAGGGAGATATTCAAATCCCCGCCTTGCTTCGTACCCACGTTGACTCTCTTCACTACAACAAAAAAGGCGTCTTCAAAGACGAAATTTTCCATTGTTGATGTCTTGAATTCTGTAGGTAAACTTTTAGCAACGAAATCCTTCTGTCGATAAATCGGATAGTGAAACCCTCACCGATCAATTTCTTTGATCGTCGGTAAATCAGCGACAAAAAAATTTATTGGTATTTACTAGACAAGAAATATAGATATTTTAATCCACGTCTGCTCGACTTCCTAAAATTTCAGAACGTGGCAGCGGATGAAGGTTGCCTCCATACCACAGTCGAATGTCATACCTGACCACATAATTTTTATAACGTCTACATTAAAAACTTGAAAGGTCGAAAGATCTACTTTAATTAAAAACATTAACGACTTAGTTGTTACAATACTTATAAGTTGAAGATTCCCACTTCAATTTTCCTCACATACATTCATAAAATTTATTGCTTTTATACAAAGTATGAGAAAGACTCATATAATAAAGGGGTCATAATCCATTAATATTGCCTATAAATTTAGATGTTTGGTGCATAATTTTGGCTTCAAATTTATATGAAAACAAGTACCTATTTTTTAAGGCCACTATTGTTACTATTATTAAATATTTGTATTGATTGTATTTTACTATGTTATATTATCTTGTAAGTATTTGAATATAATTGGGTAATTTGTTTTAATTTCAGTGTATTAAGTTTTATTAAAAATATTATTTTAATTCTAAATGGTAAAACTTTTTTGTAGCTATTGTTTGGTAGGAATTAAAAACAAGATTTTAATCCAAATCAAAATCAATAATAAACTTTAACCACACATTTAATTTGCTTTTATCAAAATCTATTAAAAATTTTATTTTAATCCCCACCAAACAAAGCATAATTTCTAAAGTCAATATTGAATTTTGTTAATAAATTTTCAACGTACGAACTTATAATTACATGTAAGGTGGTACTTGGCATATGCATCCATACTATTGTTGGTTGTTGCCGACCGACTACCCATAGTAGTAGCTAACCATTGACAACAACATTTAATTTAGAAGGTTGATAAAAATCTAAGTAAAAGTCGATTGTTAATTTTAACGACACATTTTGATGAGACTCACAATTTTTATCAACTTTTCAATCATAAATTTTATTAATTTTTATAAAAATTAACTAAAAATCTGATTTTAGCAAAACCAAATAGGGATTTAAGTTATTAATTGTACAAGAACACATTATCTAAGTTATCATGAAAGTAATGGATATTTTACTAATTTGATTTATTAATTTGTTAAATATTTGACAAGAGCAACCATTATTATTGCAACTTAATTCTGCAGTACTAAAATCGATTATAACAATGGCAATAATAGTTATAAAAAATTACATATAAGTCCTCAACTTATTTGAAATATAGTACGTAGGTTTCAACTTTCAATTCTAGCAATCAAATCCTCAACTGATTCAGATACCTGTTTGGGTATTTAATTTAAGAAGAACGGTTTGGTTCAGTCCGGTTCAATTCTAGTCCGATTGGATTAATTCGGTTCAAAAGTTTTGTTCAACCCTAATAGCTAGAAGTCAATTTCAATGGTACAATCGATTGGTGCATAATCAGTAATACTAGTTTGACTTTTCTAGCCTCTATTTGATAGCCATTATTTTCAAATTTTTTTCTTCTATATACTCATTTTTATCACACATTCACACAATAAATATACGTAAACTCCAGAACTTTTCCCTACTTTTAACCACACACTCTCCTAAAAATCACTATTCAAAACTTTATTTTGGCCCCAAGTAATGGTTGTCAAACAAGGGCTTGAAATTGTACAAGTATGGCCACATTCTCTTAATGCTATGGCCAAAACAGCAGTAATAGTAAATATTTTAAAAACATTTTATCTTTATAAAGAAAATATATTATTTGTAATTATTTTTTAGGGTATCAATATTTATGACTTATATGCATTTTTTCTATTCAAATATTCTTATATGTTGATTTGTAAATTCCTAAAGGTACAAAAACGAAAAAAGTGATAATCACGATTTTCCATTTATATAAGTGACAATAATTATTTATCAACTGTCAAAATCATTTCTATTTATTTAAAAATAAAATATATATTTAAAAAGTAGTACATTATTTTATAATTTTTTATTTTAGCATTAGATGAATTTGCTACTAAAATTTTTAAGCTTATTTTAATATTTGACAAAATGTAAAATAAAACTAATATGTAAGTAATTGAAATAATGCCAAAAAACAAAATTTCTTCCTTTCGTCAATAAAGATTTTTTCTTATATTTTGTTATAACCTCATGTCTAATTAAGTTTAGAAAATTTACTTATAAGCAAGTTTGCTTACATAGTAAATAAGTTATAAAAAAGTTTTTATTGATTAAACTTAGAAATAAGCATATGACTTATTTCGACGAATTAATTTTAAAATAAATAACTTTTAACTTAAAAGTTTAAAAAGTAACATTTGAAAACAAAAGGTTGGTCCCTGTTTGAGTCACATTAAAATTTTCATTCTCATTCTTCTATTCATTTTTAATCACACATTCTTCAATAAAATAATATTTTCCATCACATCAATAATTTTTCATTCTTTGTCAACCACACATTCTCCATCAATCTACTATTCCAAAATACATTTTTTCCAAATAATGTGGCTCAAACACAATTTAAAGCCACTTTTACTTTGAAGCATCGCCAAACATGCAAGCACAAAATTTGAATACAAAGAAAGTAGTATTTATTACTATTGAGAAAAAGAAAAGTGGGTTAAATATAGTGTAAGGTTAGAATACAACAGAAAATCCACCTAAGAAATATTGTTCATTTAATTGTCTTACCTGCCTTCATTCATTGCTAACTCGTCAATTTTCAGCCTTTAAATTCTCCACTACCACCACTTCCTTCCTCCCATCTCCACCACCTCCTCCTCCTCCCTTTCTCTTCTCCCAACTAGCCCTCTCTCTCTCTCTCTCTCTCTCTCTAGAAATGCCACAAGCGTTGCCAAATTTCTCTAGTTCTGTGAAACTCAAGTATGTCAAACTTGGGTACCAATACCTTGTCGATCACATTCTAACCTTCTTGTTGATTCCAACCATGGTGGGAATTTCGGTCCAAATTATCCTGTTAGGCCCGGAAGAAATGCTCAAAATTTGGCGATCACTCGATATTGACCTTGTGCAAATCTTGTGCTCTTCTTTCTTGATCATCTTGATTTGCACTCTCTACTTCATGTCAAAGCCTCGGTCGGTATATCTAGTTGATTATGCCTGTTACAAGCCACCCATAACATATCGTGTCTCTTTCTCGACTTTCATGGAACACTCTAGACTAAATCTAAAGGATAATCTCAAAAGCGTCGATTTTCAAATGCGGATTCTTGAAAGATCAGGCCTTGGAGAAGAAACCTGTTTGCCTCCTGCAATTCACTATATCCCTCCAACCCCTACAATGGAAGCGGCCCGAGGAGAAGCCGAGGAAGTCATTTTCTCTGCCATTGATTCCCTTATGCAGAAAACGGGGATCAAAGTGAAAGATATAGACATTCTTATCGTAAATTGCAGCCTTTTTTCTCCCACACCATCCCTTTCAGCTATGGTTGTGAATAAGTACAAACTCAGGAGTAACATAAAGAGTTACAATCTTTCTGGAATGGGGTGTAGTGCGGGCTTAATATCAATGGATTTGGCTAGAGATCTTCTGCAGGCACATCCAAATTCATATGCACTTGTTGTTAGTACTGAAATTATTACGCCAAATTACTATAAAGGTTCAGAAAGGGCAATGCTTCTTCCAAATTGCTTGTTTCGAATGGGCGGTGCTGCGATTCTTTTATCGAACAAGAGTCGTGATAAACATCGTGCTAAGTATCGATTAGTGCACGTGGTTAGAACCCACAAGGGTTCTGATGATAAGGCCTATAAATGTGTTTACGAACAAGAAGATTCACAGGGAAAAGTCGGGATTAATTTGTCAAAAGACCTTATGGTTATAGCTGGTGAAGCTTTGAAATCCAATATAACCACAATAGGCCCTTTAGTCCTTCCTGCATCAGAACAACTCCTATTTCTCATCACTTTAATTGGTCGAAAAATCTTTAACCCAAAATGGAAACCCTACATTCCTGACTTCAAACAAGCCTTTGAACACTTCTGCATCCATGCCGGAGGCCGGGCGGTAATCGATGAACTTCAGAAGAACCTCCAACTGTCTTCTGAACATGTTGAGGCCTCTAGAATGACACTGCATAGATTTGGGAACACGTCGTCTTCTTCGTTATGGTACGAATTGAGTTACATTGAGGCCAAAGGCAGGATGAAGAAAGGGGACAGAGTTTGGCAAATAGCTTTTGGAAGTGGATTCAAATGTAACAGTGCTGTATGGAAATGTAACAGGACAATTAAAACACCAACTGATGGACCTTGGCAAGACTGCATTGATAGGTATCCAGTGCACATCCCAGAAATTGTGAAGCTCTAGGGGAATTTATTTGCCCTTTTCTATTAAATTTTGCCATAGATATCTGAAAAAAATTCCGCATGCATTTGCTCAATAGCTACAATATAAATGTTACGAATTTGGGGTTCCATCTTAACAATAAAGATGTATAATTATTTAGTTTTCTCAAAATTTGATGTGATACCATCAGTTATTATGTATCATTTGATGATGCTAATAAATGAATGAAGATAAAATCATTCATGTTCTTGAAAACAGCAGCTGTAATTTTTGTTTTTTCACACGGTAAAAACCAGTGAAAAGTGGAGATTCTTGCATGGGAGTAAACGTTTCAGCATTTACTAATTATCAGTCTCTCTAGCCCAGCTGTGCCTGTAAGCAGATTCCAGAATTTAAGAAACCAGTGAGTCTGGATCATGAATTAGAGGTACATATGTTTGAATTTAACTACATATTTTTTTGGGAGTTATGCTACATTGCTAGGAATTTCATTAACAGTTGGACAAGAAACAATTTCAAACCAACCAATCTAATTTCGCCACCTCATCATTTGTAAAAATCCTTGGCAAAAGCACTTGTACAAGCAGCTTAATCCTTTTGTAAGACTTACAACTTTTCAACTACATATTTCAAAAACTTTTGTCAAAATCTACTAAGATTTTGATTTTAATCCCCATCAAACGGGGGCTTAATAAATTAAGGATTTAAATAGTATGTCCTTGTTTGGTAGATATTAAAATAAGATTTTTAGCAGACTTTGACAAAAGTTTTTGAAATATGTAGTTAAAAAGTTGTGATCCTATATAATGTGTAGTTAAAATCAATTGTTGATTTTGATTTAAATTTTAATCAATTTTTTTAGCAGTACCAATTAGGGGATACGTTTCAGTACTTTCTAAATTATTCAAATTGTATTTGAATTGACTGGTCATTGACATATAAAAAAAGATATGTGAAATAAGGCCTTTGTTTGGGGTTTTTTTATCACTAGCTAAAAAGTTTATTTTCAAAATCTAATATTAATTTTAACTATATATTTCATATGAACCACTTATTCACTATTCATTTTTACCAATTTATAATTTTAACAAAAAATAAAACCCACACCAGGCAAAAGATAAAGAAAAATCAATAAACGCTTCTTAAAAAAAATAAAATGAAGTGCCAAACTAGAGATTAGCTAGGTTAGAGTGTGTAAAATATTTTACTCTCTAAATTTAAAGATACTCTATCTATCAGGTTAGAGTGTATAAAATATTTTACTCTTTAAATTTAAAGATACTCTCTCTGTATATAAAATGATATTTATAAATTAAAGTCTTTTGAAAATGCTATTATACGATTTTTGAGAAGAGTAACCTAAACTTTATAAGTTAATCAATGTAGAATTTTTACTTTTATATTGCCTTCGCAAAATGATGATTAGTTTGAGGATAATCATCTTGTACTCCTACTATTGTTGGAGCTTTAAAAATATCGATTAACTGCTCGTTTGAGTTTTTCTAGATTCTAATACCGTATTGAGTTTTTGAGTTCAATTTTAAAAGGTCAATGTGGTTAAAAATGAGTAGTCCACATCATAATTTTGAAACGTGACCCAAATCACGTGTGACCTTGTCAAGACACTAGATTGGTGGGTTACTAGATCAATATACAGGTTATTACCTAACCATAAGGTTCAAGACTTTATGGAAAAAATTCCAATAACCTGGTCGGTTCATGCGAGGTGGATTTTTGGTTCATCGATCTGTTCAATCTGAGTTTTAAAACACTCATTCAATTCTTATCACGTCACTTTCGTTGTGGTAACGTTTTACTCCTAGCTGTATTTAATAAAATTCATTTATTATCTATACACCAAACGTGACAACGAGGTCTCCATCAGCTGCAAGAATTGTTTTTGAATTGTATGCTTTCACAAGTGCATGCAAGAGAGGCTTGTGTCACATTCACTCTTCAACTTGGGCAACCACACTAAATACTATCACTAATTAGAGCAAAATTATAGTTGAGGGTGGCCAAGAGAGGCATTTGGTGGTTAGGAAGTAAAAGTACAAGTCTTAAAATAAATAATTTCATGGTGAGTGTCTGTTGTTTGGCAATAAATGTTAAAAGTAAAGTTTTGTTTGGCAATAAATGTTAAAAATAAACTTCAAGCTTGATGAAACATGCTCTAGAGTCTATATAGTTAATAATTCTTAAATGAGCAAGAGCGGACATCAAATTGAGAGGGTGTTTGGTGAAAATTAAAATTAGATTTTTAGTTGATTGTGATAAAAGTTTTTTAAATATATGGTTAAAAAGATGTGGAACCCATAAAAGATGTGATTAACATTGATTGTTTGACTTTGATTTAAATTAAAATCAGATTTTAATCCGGTCCAAACGGGCCCTGAGTTGTAATCTTTATGACTTCATGATGTGATAGGTATACTAGATTGAACGTGAATAAATAGGACAAGTGGATAACTAATAAATTTTGTCACATATCTTTTTTTTTTTTAATCAAAAGTAACATTTCTTATTAGTCATCTCCAACCCGTTCCACCAAATTTACACAAAAAATCTCTTTCTTTCCTTATTTTTTAACTTCTCAATAACTAATTTATTTCAAATATTATTTAAAAAGGAAAAATGATGAAGAAAGTACAAAAAATATTGAAAATATGAAAGAAGAAAATCGACAGCACGTTTAAATTTCCATAAAAGGAGGCAAGAATAGGCAAAAAAATTTACCAAATTCAAATGCTACGTGCGCAAAATGAGTCAAAAAATTAGTCATGACAAAATATGGAGAAGAGAATTAAATTTTCCTAAAAGACTCGATTCCATAACGGACCCAAATCTATGTGAATTTTTTAGAACTTTTTTTTTTTGATAAAGAGCATATCATTAATCAAGCGGATAAACCGATTACAGACGAAACAAGCAAAAAGCTTGAGACAACAGTCTGGAATANAACAGTCTGGAATACTATCCAAAAAACACAAACGAAGTTACGCCTGTGACTTATGAATACAGGGAAACCCGATTACAAGTCAACTAACGCCATCAGCACTATATCACCCCCGCACACAGGACGGGCTTTGTCTAAACTTCGGCCCTTCTACAAAGAGAGAAGGCCAGCAAAACAAGGAACCGACAACACAAGACAACATAAAAAAACAACAATAGACTCAGAACTAAAACAACCCAACAGAATTGAAAAAACACCACCCAATCGATCCCATCAAGGCACAAAATCAGCCAAGCCCAAAAGAGGAAATCTTCCTGCAGTGAACGTTTCACAGCCTCGACCTCCTGCAGCCAACCTCAGCCAACCGGAGCTCCAGCACCCCTCGACCACCGAATTTTTTAGAACTGAACAAACAACAATTATGCAAAAAAGAGCTCAACAACAGTGCTAATGATCTCAGAGTACCTTTAGTCCTATTGGTCCATATTTTGATGGTCATGATTTTTGAAGGATCCAAAAATGATCGACCATAATACTAATCACATATATATGATCGAAACAAATCTTAATCACATTGGAAATCCAGATAAATCCAAATAAAATTATAAAACAAATTTGAATAAAATTAAAATAATGCAAAAACGACAAAATTACTCTTAAACTAACTCAAAACAGAAAAATCTGACAGCTAAGCTCAAATTTACATTTTTTTCGTAGATCATCCTTATTTCTTCTATTTTCCAATTGATTTATGTTTTTCTCTTCTAACTTTCTCGCGTTACCTTTCTTTTTGAAGTTATGAACCTCCTACTAAGCCGAAGCCCTCTTTTGTTGTAAGCGACTCAGAGTGAAATTTGGACCTCCGTCGCATATTTATTAAAGGTTTGAGACATTCTCTGGCACAAATCAAATGTTAGGGTAAAGTGCGCAAAATTTTGAAAGGTTTGGGACCTTTGCTGCAATTGTCCCTAATTTAAAGGTTAGGGTAAAATGCGCAATATTCATATTTATAGGATTAAATTGTGCAAAAATATGATTTGTTTATTGCAATTTTGTTATCTGGATTTGGATTAAATTGTGCAAAAAGTTTTCGTATTATTATTGATCTCGAGATTTGGGTTTCATTATATATGTTTAAAATTTGTTTTTAAAAAAAATCTCCAAAAATCTTTAAAAGTCTCCCGTGAAAGTCTCCAAAAGTTCATGGAAAACTTTTACTAAATCTTACCAAATCCATCTAAATAGCTTGAAAGTCTCCAAAAGTCATCCATTTTAAAAAGTTTCCAAAAGTCTCTAAAAATTTCAATTGAATACACCCCCTAACAGTCAAATGTATGGAATTTGGACCTCCGTCGCATATTTATTAAAGGTTTGGGACCTTCTCTCTCACAAATCAAATGTTAGGGTAAAG